TCTTTCTATGTGTGTGTGGATTCCTTCCACAGGCTTTGGGGTTGTTGTTTTCTTATTTCTGGTATCTGCCCCTGGTGGGTGAGGCTGGACTAGAGGCTCATGCAGGGTTCCTGGCAGGAGGAGCTGGTGCCTGCCCACTGCTGGGTGAAGCTCGGTCCTGGACCTCTGGTGGGTGGGCTGTGTCTAGAGGCCTTTGTGGCTCAGGAGGTCTGCTGATGGGTGGGGCTGGGTCTTGGTGCTAATGATCCAATCGAGATGTCAGCCTCCAGGAAAGCTCATGTAGAGGAACACCCCCGGAATGTCCGCCACCAGCTTTTATGTCCCCTGAGTGAGCCACAGCCGTCCCCCACGTCCCCAGGAGAGACCCTCCAAATCCAGCAGGCAGGTCTGGCCCAGGTTCCTGTGAAGTCACTGCCTCTGCCCTTGGACCTGGTGCATGTGAGTTTCCGTGTGTGCTTCCCAAGTGAATGGCGTCTCCGTTTCCCCCAGGCCCGTGAGGCTCCCAGAGCCAAGTCCCCCTGGCCTTCAAAACCAGATGCCCTGGAGTCTCCTTCCTTCCCAGTGCCGGGACCCGAGCTGGGGCTCAGAGCTCTCACTCCTGTGGGAGGGCCTCTGCGACTTAACAGATCTTCAGCTTGTGGGTCACCCACCCGGGGTGCATGGGGCCCAATTACATCGTGAGCATGCCCTTCCTACCGTCCTGCTGCGGTTCCCTCCTTATGTTTCCAGTTGCAGATCTTCCTTGCAGGTTCCAGTCTTTTTGATGGTTGTTTAGCAGTCGGTTGTGGTTCCGTTGACGTCGCGAGGAGGGGCGAGCTCGTGGTCCTCTATTATTTTAATAGAGGTACTGGGGATTGAGCCCAGGGCCCGGTGCAGGCCGAGCTACAGCCACCCCCGACAATTCCCTCATCTTCAGCTGGATGACACCTGTTCCCAGCACAGCGATAACGATGAATGAGGGTAATGCACGTAAGTTGCCCGACACGCACCCAGCACCAAGCAAACATTCAAACCAGCGTCAGTGGCCAGCAGGAACACCGGCCGCACGTGGCAGTGCGGTTTAGTGCTCACCGGCCACGCGACTCTCTTCCGGCTTCCCAGCCACTCCGTCTGGGGGTGAGGGTGGGGGCGGAGAGCAAAGGGAAGGCAGTCACTGATCTTGGATTTCTCAGCGCAGTAGATTTTCAAAATGTTTATCTTGAAATAACTAGATTCACAGGAAGTATCTTGTACCCTCCAGTACCTCTCAGCTGACCCCTCCATGGTTGCATCGTTGTAATTATAGAAAAATACCACAACCAGGAAATTGACACCAGTACACGGTGTGTGCGTGTCATTTTGTCATATGTGTAGATTTGCGCAGCCACCACCACCATCAAGGCACAGAACTATTCCATCACCTGGAAGATGCTCTGCTCCCTGAGGCCGCAGCCCCTTCCCTGCATCATCTCAGACTCCCGGCAGCCTCCAGTCTATTCGCTGTCTTTCAAATTGTCAATTCAAACACGTTGCATAGATGGAATCACACAGCGTGTGACCTTCTGAGACTGGTCGGGTGCCCTTGGGATCCATGCAAGCTGTTTCGTGCATCAGTAGTTTGTCCCTCTTGACCACTGAGTAGTATTCCACAGTGCACCACACACCAGGGCTTCACTGTTCACCCATTGCTAGGGGTGCTCGTCGTTTTCAAGTTTGAGGCTGTTGCAGATGAAGCCTCTGTGAACAAGCATGTAGAGGTTTGTGTGTGGACTTAAGTTTCCTTTCTCTAGGTTAAAGGCCCGGGAATGCCATTTCTGAGTTACACGGTAAAGTTTAATTATGGATTTTTAAAAAAGAAACTAGCGAACTGTTTTCCAGAGTGGATGTATCAAAATGTTGGTCTTTATCACTGGAGATGTTCTTTGCTCCAAGATCAACTTTATCCAATTTTAATATAGCCTCTCCTGCTTTCTCTTTTTTTTTTAAAAAGTAATAATTGATTTACAATGTTGTGTTAGTTTCAGGTGTACAGCAAAGTGATTCAGTTATCCATATACATACATATATTCTTTTGCAAATTCTTTTCCATTATAGGTTATTACTGCTGTGCAGTAAATCCTTGTTTTTTATCTATTTTATACATAGTAGTGTGTATGTGCTAACGCCAGACTCCTGATTTATCCCTCCCCCAAACCCTTTTCCCTTTGGTGACCATAATTTGTTTTCATGTCTGTGAGCCAATTTCTGGCTTGTATATAAGTTCACTTCTATCACTTTAGATTCCGCATATGAGTGATACCACTTGACATTTGTCTTTCTCTGTCTGACTTACTCCACTTAGTATGATCATCTCTAGGTCCATCCATGTTGCTGCAAATAGCAATATTTCACTCCTTTTTATGGCTGAGTAATATTCCATTATATATATATATATATATATATATATATATATATATATATATAATATGTATGCCACATCTTCTCCATCCAGTCATCTGTTGATGGACATTTAGGTTGGTCCCATATCTTGGCTATTGCAAATAGTGCTGTTATGAACATTAGGGTGCATGTATCTTTTGAATCATAGTTTTCTCCAGATATTTGCCCAGAAGTGGGATTGCTGGATCACATGGTAAGTCTATTTTTAGTTTTTTAAGGGATCTCCATGCTGTCCTCCATAGTGGCTGCACCAAGCTACATTCCCACCAGCAGTGAAGGAGGGTTCCCTTTCTCCACAGCCTCTCCAGCATTTGTCATTTGTGGACTTTTGAATGATGGCCATTCTGCCTGGTGTGAGGTGATACCTCATTGTAGTTTTGACTTGTATTTCTCTGTTGATTAGTAATGTTGAGCACCTTTTCATGTGCCTGTTGGC